TAATAAAATAGCAAAAAACCCCCTGTGTTTTTTTTTAAATAGCACACTTGACCCACTACCAATTTAAGGGCTGACCTTGTGTAAATAGACAAAAAAAACCCTGTAAAATATCTATTTTTATAGTATTAAAAAAAGCACTATTTAAATTCTTATTTTCTAATGTTCTAACTATTTTATTTTTTATTACTGATAAAAAAACTAATTTTATTTTTGTTATATCTTTTAATTAAAAAAATGGAAAGGGGTTTTTTTATTTTTAAATTTATCATATAATTTCTTTATAACTTTTAAATTATTCCTACACTAAATTATGTAAAAGAAAAAAAAATTACAATATTATGTATATGTTTATTGACGATTATTTTTTTTAATATAATATTTCCATTTAATTTGTATACTAAATTTTTAATAATCAGATAAAATCAAGAAAATCAAGAAAATCAAAAAAAAAAATAGATAAATCAAATCATCATCATCTTCAACGATTTGAATCCCGATGCCATCTCCAACACCACCACCATCGTCTTCCCACTTAATTATTCAATCCCAACCAGCAAAAACAAACTAGAAAATTCTATCTATTTTTTTTTTCAAGATCCAAAACAAAACAAAACAAAAAAAAAAAAAAAAACAGTGGGAAAGAAGCTAGTTTTGTTTCTGCAAACCTAGCAACAACACAAAAAAAAAAATTAAAAAAAATCCACAAAATCCGTTGAACACGAACGCAGATGTCATATGTGGTGAAGAAAGGCTCGAACGCCAGTTTGTAATCGGCGTTGTAGGGCTCCGCTAGGCTCCAATTGCCGCCGCCGCCGAAGAGGGCTTCTAAATCAGAGTCGATTAAAAGATTAACTGCTTCCCAGGTCCCCCAATTTCCGGAAGCTCCTCCGATCGTCAGCGCCCTTGTTCGTCCTCACGAAGTGCTCGAGCCTGGACTTCGCGCGGCGGCTATGGTAGAGCAGCACAGCGGAGCAGCCGACGGTGGAGGCTGTGCTGCGGTGGTGGGAGGACGCTGGTCGAATTGAAGTCGGAATTTCCGGAAAAATCATGAAATTACATATTAATAAAATTTGGGGGGTAATTATGTAATTTCAGATCTAAAAATTCGTCACCAGCTGCACACTCGGCGAGTGTGCAACACGAAAATGCACTAGGGGGTTTTTGCCTTTAACAAATTTTCATAGGGGGGTTTTTGCTAGTTTATTTATCATAGGGGGGTTTTTGCTAATTTGAAATTACACAGGGGTACTTTTTGCAGTTTACTCATATATATATATATATATATATATTGCTCACGCTTCAATCAGTGATCTATGTTAATAAATTCATAAGGAATACAATTTGAATAATTTTACATCCCTTTCTTATGACGCAGAGATTTTCGAAATTTGAATTTTCAAATATTTGACCAATATTTATTTATATGTGTCTCACAATGTTACAACAATTAGAAAAGGACAAAGAATGACTTTTTATTCCTTTCTTGGGTAAATTACGTGAATCCCTGAATTTAGGTTAAATTACGAAAAATACCTCCATCTATTTGTAATTACCAAAATTTTCTTGATATTTGTTTCCGTCTTACACCGACCTTTAGTGTGATTTTCATGAAATCTTTTTGATTCCAGGGAATAGTCTTTAAAAATACCAATTATACCCCTAAGAACAGTTTTATTTTGATCAACATCACTTTGCAATGTCACTACACTACGTGGATTGCTAGTACAAACCATCATAGCATACATATGCAAATCTTTTAACACTTGTGTATGACTAACTTCAATACGTTCTATGTTTGTAGGGATAGAATTGGCATTTTTTGGTAAATATTCTCCGAAATAAAAAAGATTCCATAAAAAGTCGTACTGTAAGGGGTCAATGTAAGGCGCAAACAAACATTGAGGGGATTTTGATAATTATGGATAGATGGGGATATTTTTCATAATTTAGCATACATTCAGGGAAATTTTGTAATTTACCCTATTTTCTTTTGGCATTGCACTAAGGGATTTATCGTTACAAATGGGAAAATAATTTAGGAAGAAATATATATTATGTACCTAATATCTCTACTATTTTTTTTTTAATGGAAAATTCAAAATTTGAACGTTTTAATATTCAAAATGGAAATATATATTACACTCTTTCATGACATGTCATAGCTTACACAAGCAAATTATTTATTTTATTTTTTTATTATTTGCAGGCAATTTTCAAACATGTCTCTCTTGGACAACAATAATGAAATTAAAATTAATTAAATAATAATAATTATTCATTAATTAATACGAGTAGTGTGGGATTAGACCAATTGCATTTCAGTTGAACTGGTTATAACTCTATGCTAATATGGTGACTAATGTGAGATCATTAATTGAATTATTTAAACATCATTTGTTATTTAATTAATTAAAAAATATCGACAGTATTTGAAATTTAAATCTTACCGATAAATCGAGGATGATAACCCAAATTCGTCGAGTTATACCCGCTCTGTTAGTTAATAGAGTGAGTACGACTGTAACAAATCTATCAGACGATTCGTGTACATGTTTACAAACTCTTAGAAGTCTACGAGTTAGTACTTCTACAGCAGACTATTTGTAGAAATACTAACTCTTCGACTTTTAAAAGATGGATAAATAATAAATCTCAAAATATATAATTTTAAAATCAGCGATTGTGGATGTACCGAAACGGATATTGAATTCTATGGCTTTTATTAATGAACTATTAGGCGGGTACGAGTTTTCCAAACATATATCGCGCATTTACATAAAAACATTTTAAAACTAGGAGTATTTGGCATAAGAGTAGATAATTAAATTAAATAATTGATTTAATCTTCTTAAATCTTAATTTAAAAAAGGATAAATTTCACTTTCCCCCCTTGTACTCTCAATTGCATCGATTTGCTCCATTGTACTTTGGTTCGATATCACTTTACCCCCCCTTCTACTCTCAATTCATCGATTTGCCCCTTATACTTTGGCTAGATATCATTTTACCCCTTCTACTCTCAATTGCATCGATTTACCCCCTTGTACTTGAAAAATCGTCTCAATATGGCCCTCGCTGTTAGTTTTCAGATTTGACCTTAACACCGTTTAATCTAAGTTTGAAAATTACAAAAAAAAAAAAAAAAACACCCCTCCCAGTTTAAATAATTATTAATAAAATAACAAAATAAAAAAAAATTGTGGCTGGCGTTGTGGACTATGTTTTCTCGTTGTCTTGAATTTATTATTATTTTTTTTTAATAATGATTTAAACTGGAGGGGGTGACATTTTAGTAATTTTCAGACTTAAATCAAACGGTGTTAAGCTCAAAGTTCTGAAAACTAACGGCGATGGCCACATTGAAACAATTTTTCAAGTACAGAGGGAAAATCGATGAAATTGAGAGTAAGGGTAAAGTGATATCGAGCCAAAGTACAACGGGGCAAATCGATGAATTGAGAGTACAATGGCGTAAAGTGATATCGAACCAAAGTACAAGGGGACAAATCGATGCAATTGAGAGTATAAGGGGGTAAAGTGATATTTAGCCAAAGTACAAGGGGGAAAGTGGAATTTACCCTTTAAAAAAACTTCATATTAATTATGGATTTGATTGAGCTATATCTTCTAAAATTCGAGTATCATACAAGATAGAATTTGGGTCCAATAAGGCTATTTCAATTTTTTTCAGCCCAATCTAATTATCATCTGCAAAATATTTGAATAACATAAGCCCAATCTAAGAATTGAATAAAAAAAAAAATTCTTTTCTTTTTTTGTGAATATGTGACATAAAAAGAATAATTTTATTAGGATTTATTTTGATTAAAAAAACTGTAGCCACCCATATAGATGTACTGCGTAAAACTCCATTCTTCTGCAATAGTTTACAAGTTATACGAGATATATAAACTTCACTAAGCATAAGAAGTGTTCAATGTTGTCCAAAATTGTACTTCTAATTGGTATATATTCGCCTGAGTTTGCCAGCAATTGTCCACGCTCGGGAAGCTCGGGTGTGGTAGGCCCACAATCGAATGTCGCGGGCGCTCGTGTTATTGCGTAAAAACGAAAAGAAAAGGTGCTCTTTGGTCATTGTCTCTGCTGGCAAAAGAATCTGCCAGTTCTCTAAAATTCCTTCACACATTCTTACAGATATCTTAGGACTTCCCTCACGTGCTAGCCTCAGTTTCTTGGGTTGTCCAGCACGTGACTACTATGGTTTTTCTTTAATTAATTTTTTTCCTCTTTCCACTTTCTCTTTATATATTCGTTTATCTTTTCTTTTCTAGGCTACATTTCACTTTTATGGTTTTTTTTAATTATTATATTATTCATTTTTTTATTCCATTTCTTTGCAACAATTTAGTATCAAATAATTTAGTCCATATAATATTTTGAGAATGTTAAAATTCTAG